ATGACTCTGTTGTTTTCGTTGTTATTTATAGGCAAAATGCATTTAGATGTAAAAATTTTAAAAACATGACGATAATCAATTAGAAGGGAGCCTAAACAATTACGATGGCGCAGCCGAGGAATTCAGGCAAGTTGAGAACAACGTCGATTCAAACAATTTTTTTTTCTGCTCTCTCTCTCTCTCTCTCTCTCTCTCTATAAAGAATATAGTAATTCTCGAGATCCATTCAGCTTGTCTTTCGGCTTCATAACTATCGTTCAACTGAAAATCGAAATTCAACGTTCTCATTATTGGAAATAAAAACAAACCTGTACAACTAGGTGTCGTTTTTCACGACCTCCAAATAACGCATACCTTTATCGTCTGGTTTTTGCTTTTTTGCGGCGAAGGGCGACTGCACTGTAAAATGTACCTAGTTAATAACGCACGTGCAAAACAATTTGTCTACAACGTACCAGTCACCGTTACTGTTGTAATTATTTCGCTGAATTAAAGCTCCATACTCTTTGAGACAAGTAGTAGCATAAATTTGTACTCTAGTATTTTGGACTTTGGTTCCAAAGGTTAAATGAAGTATAAACACTTACTCTCACATTTGCTCTCTCCACTGTGTCCCCGGTTGGTCAATGGATAACACTATTTAGCTGGTATGTCATTCTTCAATTAATAGCGTGGTTTGTTTTGCTGACACTCCTGAAATAGTGAATTATCAAATGGAAAGTGTTTCAGTAGAACCATCGATTGTCCGAGGCTCCCGATTTTCCGAACTAATTTCCCTTCTCCCGGGTAGTTGAAGAAAATTGAGATGGCACCGCTGTAATAACTATTTGATAACCTGGGAGCTAGGGTGTAAATGGAAGTGAATTACGAACATCAGTTTGCTGGGAAATACCTGACAATTGTTTTCTACTGCTTAAGAAAAACATGTGTTTGCAACTGCTTGATGATGATTTTGGGTGAATTGTTTTTGTAGATTGTTATTTAATAAGGGAACTTGTTTTTTTCACGGGAAGTTGGTCAGTCATTGGGCTTCCAAAAACCTGGCAGCCCGAAATTATTCTTCAGAAGCTGATCGTGCACGCAATCACACGTGTCGCAAATTGTTTTTTAGCATAGTACACATAATGCAATGCAATACTAGCTAATACTATATGTCAAATTTGACGTATTATAAAAGTGAACTGTCATATCGTTTTCTATATAGGTGCCTTTGGTTTGTTTTGATTTAATTTTCGTTCAGTCAGGATGCATTTTGTTTTTAATCAGACGATTTTCGAGACGTTCAACATAAACTAGAGCTACTCGTGAAACAAAATCCCAGCAATATCGGGCTTGATGTGACTGAAAATACTGCTTCCAGTGCTGCGATCGGTGATAGACATTCGTCAAGGTTTTTTTGGAATCCGATCTGCTGTTTTCTGTACTGAATTTTCGGTGGCTTCTGTCCACCTTCATCAGAGTTGACGAGTCAGTCACGAGATGACTGACATTTCAGGCTAAAATTTTACCGTTGTATATTTAACAAATTGACTTCTGTTTTTCATGCGTCTGTTTTGTTATTGATCTTGATTTTCGTCATAACTTTGTCAAAGTAACCGTGGATCCACGACGCGATAGCCGAGTGGATCCGCAGACTACTTTTACAATGTTATGACGAAATTCATTGACAATAACAGAACAGACGCATGAAAAACTCACGTCAGTTTGTTTTTTTTACAACAACAAATTGTCAAGTTGTTGTTCACTCGTTGACGCATCGCATAAATTATAAATTCATATGTCTGTCCGCTTATTGGCAATAAAAATGAGCCAATGAGCGCGCCAAAATTTCTGAATTTATTGCAAAAATGAAATTACTTGCATTGAAATGAAATTTTCTTCAAAATAAACTGTTGCAAAGTGATTCGCATAGCTTGAGCCACTTGAACCGATGTGACGGTTAATTGCGCGATAAAATCCAAGTTCGTCATCATATTAGCTGTGAAAAAATGTCGATGTTGGCATGAAATTACAAAGTTTTACTTTTTAGAGGTATGTGATGTGGACCTTGACGGATTAGTGATTCTCCTTTGTCGTATGCAGTTGAATGTTGACTATGGCTCATGAGTAGGACTCTGGCGAAGAGAAACAATCTGAAGTGAATAATATACCATTGAGAGAAGGCTTAAGAAAAATGGGATTTACGAATGCGTCGTCTTTGCAAGTGAATATTTGGAAGATCATACATTTGAACTGTGGAGAAAGATATGAAGACATGATTGATCATCGCAGTTATACACACAATCAATCATGATCTTGATCAATCATGTCTTCATACGTCGTCTTTGTTAGTTTATAAACATAAGGTATTTTTCCAGTGTTGTTATTTCATTCACGCTTTCGCAGTAGCACAATTTTACAATGCCAAGATGTGTAGTTGTAGAATAACAAGTTCCTTTTCAATGCGCGTATTGTGCGCGCGTGCCCTGGAAAGAGAAGAAGAGCTTAAGTTTCTCTAAGTGTAACAGTCGACAGGAGAGGATAAAGAGTTAGCCTCTTCCGGGCGTTCAGTTAGTTTGGGCGAAGCGCGAAAAACGGTGCGCGAAAAAATAAAACAGCGCGGCTTTTTTTATTTTTTCGCGCGCTATTTTTCGTGCTGCGCCCCAACTAACTGAACGCCTGGAGAAGTCTAATGAAGAGTAAGACAGCCAATCCCTATATAGATCTTATTCACAAGAATAAATATATATGACTGAATTTATGAAAACCGTGTCAAGACCAAAACAGCCATATGCACTTTGATTGCACAACTCCAAAAGGCCTTAAAAATCACTCCAAGCGAAAAAAAAGTAATAATATAAAATAGAGAGAAGAGCAAGAAAAGGAAGATAACAGAGTGGAGGGAAAAAAAAGACTGACATTCCTTTTAATTTTTATATCGTCTATTTTGGAGAAACAGCCTCCATTTGGCGCGAAAATATGCTCGGATGTTTGTCCGCGGGCATTGTCTGTCTGAAGTGAACAGTTTTCCGAGAGTGTAGCGCGAGGAAAACTGTGAGCTTTGAGGAACAGATAATGTCCAAGGACAAATGTCTGAGCATATTTTCGCGCCAAATGGAAGCTATTGTGTTTATCATCCTTCAAATATTTTCGCAACACGCGAAGTTTTGAAAATTGGGGAATATCACTCGGATATTCCCCAGTTTTAGCAGGGGCATATTCAGTCACGTGACGCGTTTAGAACACTAACGCGCGAGCGAAAATATTTGATGGATTATAAGTGACAATGTATCTTTATTGGAGATTAACTCTCCTCTGATACTTCATCATCTCTTGTCTTCCATTGTCACGAAAGAATGAAACAAAAACAAAACGTTGACATGATTATTATTACGGACTTTGGAGCTTTATTTTCTTCATGATTATAATTGACGTATATTGCATGCACTATCAGTTACGCTATTGAGCTCTGAACGCAATTTAAAGTCGAATCATGTAAATAACAGGGAAAACTAAAAATGTGTTTGTTTGATACCAATAGTTTGAAGGGGTTGGAGATAAAAAACAAATAGTGCTATATAAAGTCCAACATTTAAAAAAGACGACACGCCTTTTAAATTTGTAAGACATGTTTCGAATACTCAGTATCCATCTTCAGTTAAAGGATGTCTACAAGTGAGTGACTTTATATAAAGTAGGTAACAAGAAGGTGTAAATTACAAAATGTAGAATAATAGTACAAATCAGTGAAAAAGTTACATAATACGTGAGGGATACAAAAAAGGTGCGAGTACAAATCTGTGAAATATACTGAATACAAATAGTAATTAAAGTGCCATATAAAGTAATATGAATTAATTACCCTTTTTATGACCCTCGTTTATGACGATATTTTTCACCATGGAGTAATTTTTATTATGCTTTACAATGAAGTTCTAGCTTTTTGGAACCGTTTGGCTTTCATTAACACGTTAGCGTGTGACTATGAGTTGAATGAAAGCTTTCAATCCGTGGCTTCATGTGACACTGTCTGTCTGTCTGCCTTTCCGTCTCTCTGTTTGCTTTGTTTGTTTGTTTGATCCTTTTGGTAACTGTCGGGGTTTTTTATCGATATTTTGTGCAGTTTGTGCTGTTTTATGAGAGCCTTATTGAGCCTTACGTTTTACTTTCACTAACAAACAAATGTAAATAGAGCGGTTTACAACTGTGTCGTCGAACCAAAACCAAAGCAATCCATATACTACTCACAGCGAATATTCACAAACTCGGCAACTCAGTTAGAATTGGCATCAAAAACACGTCTAACTAGCGCCAAGCCCAGGAAATCTCACGTACGTGATAAATTGGTAATTGGTTTCTGTTTGGTTCATTAGCTAGTGCGACTTTTCCCAGTAAAAACACGGAATCAAAAAGTGCTGTAGGCTAAACAAAAGCAATTACGGATTTCGTGGCATACCTGGAGACTAGCATGCAGTTAAGCGTTTTGACAAATTAAAAAAGAGATTGATTGATTGATTAACTGCCGGCAAGTTTAAAACGATTATTTGCTTGTTAAATACGGTTTTTGAATACGAAAGATTTGAAAAGGTTTCCGCGAGCTGCAAAGAAATTAACAAAACATGGGGAATTGTATTCCGTAGTGACGTCACAACATGGCTGCTGGCGTTCCCTATTATGGAAATAACCGCAAGAAAAGATGTCCGTCATGGCGGCTGTTAACTGCTACAAAAGATGACCACAGTTTTTAGCTCACCTGTTTTCATCAATTGGTAGGAAAAAAATTATCTTTTTGCTTTTCTTTTCGTCTATAGAAATCGTATGAATTTCCATAATTTTTAGTGGTTGTGTAAACCAGTATGAAATATGATCTTTAGCCTTCCATTCTCTTTTCTTGAAAGTAAAAAAAGGTAAAGCCTGTATACGGAGCAAGAGGTGGCCCATCAGTCTGGCGGTTATCTCTGGTTTCAGTAGCATGAAGCGACTAGGAGTATTTCTACTCCCCCCTGGAAAGGATGCTCTGCTTTTTTTTTTTTTGAGTCCTGATTAAATCATGTTAAGATGTGGCCATCAATTGAAAACCGCTCTAAATACAAAACCAGAGGAAATTATTTTAATCATCGAATGAGTCAAGCGATCTTAGCCGTCCTGCTTGTCCGTAAACAACAATAGACGACACCACAAACAGCGTCAAAAATAACCAGAAGAAAATGCGATCGAGCGCACGAGCGATCTCCTTCCAGGCTTCTTGGTTTTCGTCTTCTTCATTAACAAGTTGGACGATGGAATAGGCAGTTGACGGCCGTTGCTCTTTTGGCAAATCAGCCGCTGGTGACTGCCTCCCCGCCTCTCCCAGCTCAACGTTATCGTTCTGGACCACCGTCGTGCCGGCGTTTTCTGCGCCAACTCTAAGAGTGGTTGGAGAGCCTAACCTGAAACTCTTGCGTGTCTTCTTTTTCCTGCAACCAATCCTGTTCAAAACTGAAATGTAAAAATAACAAATGGACCAGTTTAGTCAGTTTGGCCCAGTTTATTAATAATAANGGCACGATATGAATAAACAAAAATCACTTTCGTCTTATTGAAAGGAGACAATTAGAACCTTGTTTTTGTTATCGTCACTTCGGAATAATGCTCAATTCTCGAGAGTCAGTAAAGAGCTAACAGCCATACGTAACAAAGAGCTGTGTAAAAGATGACATTTTGTGTTATCCTATAGCACGGTTTATTATCATCACTAGAAAAGGTCGACACACGCGAGGGGACTAGTTTGGTCCCTGCTACTAGTCCCACGAATTCAAACTGGTTTGAATTTCTGGGACAAGTCCGTGCGACTTGTTCCTCAAAACGCTTCGTGTGAACTGTTCGTACGTGGGACAAGTTTCTGCGACCAGTCCCTTCGTGTAAACTCTTCAGGGGATTAGTTACAGGGACTAGTCCCCTCGTGTATGCCGACCTGTAATGTTTCCAGGCAACAGAGATTACAAGATCACATTTTGCAAAATCAACCACCAGCCTATAGCTAATAGCTTATCCCTGTAGCATAAAGCGACTAGGAGTATTTCTTCTCCCCCCTAGATGGGATGTTAGTCCATCGCAGGGCTACCCCCCAGCTTTTAATTCGCAGGTACCCGTTTATACACGTGAGTGGAGATAGGCACTGTGAGAGTAAAGTGTCTTGCCCAGGAACACAACACAATGTCCCCGGCCAGGGCTGGAACCCGGACCGGTCGATCCGGAACCGAGCGCACCAACCATGAGGCCACAGGGCCTCGCACGAGTTTGACTACTCCTGGAGTGAATGTTACTAAACTAACCTGTAATGTAAGCCAGGTAGCGGGGTGGTTCTGAGGTAGCGTGGTGAGCCATCAATACGAGAACAGTTGCGGCCAGCGCCAGTCCAATCTCAAACATGATCACGATATAGTAAACCCCAATTAGGGGCAGTGTCTCCGACTGTTCCGGAAGCTGTTCAGTGACAACGAGCAGGTATACGCTGACAGCCAACAGAATGGTTGCACACAGGCCGATTCGCTCGCCGCTTTCCGCTGGAATGAAGAAACTCACCAGAACCAGCATGCCGATGATCATACAGGGGACGATCGAGAAGACAACAAAATGCGTGGGCCTCCGTCCAATGAAAAATGACAAGTCTACCTCGCGGAATTTTTGATCGCGACTGCGCTTGTACTCTCCTCCTTTGATCTCGATACTTCGCAGTGTCCAGTAACCATTAGATGTACTTAGTTTGAGATCTGAAGGAAAAAGTGGAAGTGAAAACGAATGGCGTTTTCTTTTACTAGTTTTCGAAAGTGTTTGATGTTTATAAACGTCTACGTAATTAAAAATCCTGTTCAAACTCGAAATCCTTGTCTTAATCGACAGCTCTACCTCGCAAATGGAATATTCTTGGCTGTTCGCCACCCTTGAGGTTTTCATTAGTCAAATCCTCCAGCTTAGATCTGACATCTTGGATTTGTCTCTTGTTTTGTTATTTCTTAGTTAGTTAGTTAGTTTGTTTGTTTGTTTTTTCAGTAAAGTCAGAACTGAAAAAACAAAGATTGATGTAAAATTAACTCGGAATTTCAAAAACGTACCAATTCTGCGATGCTACTCAGTGTAAAAATGAAGAGTACATAAAAAGAAATACAACGACGAATTTTTCGTGATGGATTCACCATGGTAATATTTTACGACGTAGAGGGATAGTTACTATTTCAAAAATTTCTGCGAAGGATAAATCATCAAGAGTAATTTGTCTTTTAATAAATTGAGTAAAGCCTCTGGGGCTGGGGAATGGTGGCCATCATCCCCACCCCCCACCCCTTCGAGCGTCGGAGGGTTACATGTTGATATGAATTCAAAACGTTTGCTGATCCTTTGTAAAAGGGATCGAATGATGAAATACCCATTCTCGTAGTCATAAATAATTCACCAAGTTGAAACTGACAAAGGAAATCGTAATTGGCGTCCATTGAATATCTGATCTTAATTAGCACAGATTTTAAAATGTTTCTTCTTCGATCGTTTCTTCCTTATTTTTAGTTATGATTGAGAAGATAAAGAATACAATCGAGACCGTTTTTTGCCACATTCCATAGTTAGTCAAATATACTCCACTGATCGTTGTATCTTGAACTCTCTTCTCGGTGTTTGAAAATAAAATAGAGGGCGTTTTTTGTGTTTAATTGATAATTCCTAGTTTTCTGCGTTTATCCCGATGAAAATGAAACGTATCTGCAAGGATCTTAATTATTCTACCAATTTTTATGTATTCCTACCTTCCTCGGGATTTTCGCTCTCAATTTGTTTCGTGTCAATGTCCAAGATGGAGCTATCAGAGGTCAGCGATCGAAACACCATGTTACACCTCTGTTTGTCAAAAGGAAAGAACTGTACGTCGAGGGTGCAGGTACTCTTGAAAGTTGCAGGGGACAGCCACGTATTATTTCCGTCGCTCTTCAGTAGCACCCAACTTCGGAATTTTTCCAAGTGGCCTGCTTGAACAACCTCATCATCGGCACTAAAAGTAAATAGAAAAGGATAATTAAATTGCATGG